CAGGAACTCAGCGATGAGTTAATTTGCCACATGTTTTCCCAGGTTTATCCAGGGAAAAATTCCCGAATTTGAGAAAAGTAAAGATTGGATTCACTCAGTTTATTGGTACAACTCCGAGACTGAATAAAATTTTCGTCAATTTCCTCATTTTCCGGCAGATTTGTTAGGTTTTCCACAAGAAACCATGAGATAAATTTAACTCATCGCTGCGTTCCTGCACTTTTGGCGATTATGAGTGAACTAAACTCAAATTTGAGTCGTTCTCATTCGCCGTGCATTAGTACCGTCCCAATGACGCGTTCATTTAGATGCAATTGTTAGTGATGGGCTCAATCTTAGATCCATAGGCCAACATTAGAGCCATTTCTCCTAATAGGAATTCTTTTGTATAGAACGCTAAGCACGCCTCTTCGCTCCCACTATGGCAGCGGCCTTGGAGTCCTATGCTAAATCAATGGTAAAATTAACAAGTTGCTTAGACGTTCCATGTTGGTTTCAATCAGCGTAACATGTTTCCTAATAGGGTTTTTGATCTTATTTGCGTCCTACTAAGCACAACGCGCGTTTTATCTTTCTTTATTGAATGGGTTTAAATAGCAAATGTCAAAAATGACTTCTAAATTTATTCACTTTTCCATACGTACGATTGGATTTGATAAAGAGTCACAAGTTGTAGAGATATTGTTTAAAACATTATACTGCTTCTTGATTCTAAATTCGCCCTACGAGTTTAAATTCCGTCCTAACGCATTGAAGCGCCATAAGATTTTATTCGTCCTACGGATAATCGTAGAAAAAGGGGATTCGGTTGGAGCGCTTTTTTTGTTTTAAGAACAATGAGCGTAAATGGATTTATGTTTTAGCTAATGAACTAACACATCGGGACAAACCTATTATTGATTTGTATACGGTAAAATCATTGATCTTTTCAGCTCGGTAGAACGGAAATGGGCGATTACGACGAAGTAGCGCTCTACCCTATATGTACATGATAAGATTTGAGATGGTTTTAAGGCACGCTGTAGTTTTCATGCAAATCAGCTAGACAAGATCATTTCCAAGCGTCAAAAATAAATTATGAAGGCTAGTTTGATGCATTTTTCAGAATACATAACGAGAAGATGAATTGAATTGGTAATATGGTAACATAGTTATGACAATCTCAATTAATCCTTTGCAAATCATGATTTTTTTGATTTTTTTTTTTATAATGCGTTTATTTTTCCAGGCTCATTTGCTGTAGCTTTGCGGAGCCGATATTCATTGTTTAGATCACAAAATTACTTAAAACTAACGTTAGTAAGGCGGGGGCCGATTACTCACGTCTATCTCGAGGTTAGGGTAACAAATTGTAACAAATGGATGGCAGGGTAGGGATTCTGAACACAAGGTTTGGAGAGCAATGTGCTCTTGATCTCGAACTAAGTGACACTCTGATGAAAAAGACAAACATGGGGGTACACCGATGGGCAGCTAACAACTTGGGAGAACACAAGATGACACTAGCTACTAAATCTTCAGATCTATCCGTTTAAAAAACACATAAATTAAACTCAAATAGTCGAGATCTCGGCTCGCCAAGCCATCTCTAACGGGTATCGCGGGTTGTTTTCCTCGGGCCCTGAGGGATGTGGATAACTCAGATCTGGCAACACGGTGTAAGGTACATGACCAAACAACATGCTCGATATCGTGATAACCACTGCCACACGCACATAAATTGCTGCCTGAGAGCCCAATTCGATAGAAGTGCAAGTCTAACGAGCAGTGATTGGACATGAGCCTTGATATAACGCGTATAAAGTCGCGGCTCATGTCCAACCCTTTGAACCATGGTTTGTTCGACACCTGTGGGAGAATAGAATGTAGCCATCTTCCCAATTCACCATCATTCCATTTTTGTTGCTGACGAGCAATGGAGAAAAAATCGTTGAAGGCGATTTGTCGCTCAAAAATATCGCCTTCCATAGCGCCCACCTTAGCCAACGAGTCCGCTTTCTCATTACCCGGAATTGAGCAATGAGATGGGACCCAAGCTAAGGTGAGCAGTTAGATAAAGCACTCACTTTAGATCGTATTTCAGGCAGGAAATACGAGGAGTGCTTCATCGGCCTCATTGAACGAATAGCCTCCAATGAGCTAAGACTATTCGTGAAAATGATATAATGGTCAGAAGGTAGTGAGGCAATTAGCTCTACTGCGTAAAATATAGCTGCGAGTTCCGCAACGTATACGGAGCATGGTTTCTGCAGTTTGTAGGAGGCGCTATAAAATTGATTAAATACACCAAATCCAGTGGAAGTATTTATGGTTGACCCATTTGTGAAAAATCTTTTCTCGTTACTTACATGGTGGTACTTGATTGCAAAAATTGAGGGAACAACCATCGACCGATGGTGATCTGGTATTCCATGGATTTCTTGCATCATGGTCAGTTCAAAATTTACAGAGGAACTATAAAAGTCTTGAAAGCAATCACCAATGAAGAAGGACCAACCTCCAGCGTCATGTACAAACTCATGAATCTTATTTGAGGATTTCAGTCGAGCAGCTTCTCAAAGTTTTCTCTTACCAATGGGTTCATTACTTCACAACGGATAAGAAACCGGAAGGACAGTTCCGCGAAACGATCTGTCAGTGGAAGAACACCTGCGAGTACTTCGAGGCTCATCGTATGCGTCGAGTGCATACAGCCAAGCGCGATTCGGAGGCAACGGTATTGAACCCGTTGCTGCTTCAGGATGTGTGTTTTTGCCGCGGATTGAAAGCAGAAGCAACCGTACTCTAGAACCGACAAGATGGTTGTTCGATACAACCTGATCAGATCTTCCGGGTCTGCTCCTAACCAAGTTCCAGTAATTGTACGAAGAAAATTAACCTTTGCTGGCATTTTTGTTTCAGATACGCAATATGTTTTCCCCATGTACATTTGGAATCGAACCAGACACCTAAATACTTAAAAGAAATATTTGAGTGATAGTTTTACCCATTAGCTGAAGCTGTAACTGTGCAGCATGATGCTTCCTAGAAAAAACAACCAACTCAGTTTTCTCCGGAGAGAATTCGATACCCAGCTTCATAGCCCAAGTAGACAAATTGTCTAAGGTATCTTGCAATGGTCCTTGCAGGTCCGGTGCACTTGGTCCTATAACGGACTCAACGCCGTCATCTGCAAGCTGCCTTAGCGAGCAATTTTCATCAAGACAACCATCCATGTCTTTTACATAGAAATTATAAAGAAGGGGGCTTAAACATGAACCTTGGGGGAGACCCATGTAACTAATTCGTGAAGTTGTCGAGTTTCCATGAGAAAAGCTCATATATTTCTCAGACAACAAGTTGCTCAAATAGTTGTTCATAATTGGTGAAAGCCCACTATCGTGGAGTTTATCCGAAAGGACATCGATACAAACAGAATCAAAGGCCCCCTTAATGTCCAAGAAAACTGAACCCATTTACTGTTTTTGCTCATAGGCCAGTTGAATTTCAGTTGAAAGCAACGCAAGACAGTCGCTCGTTCTTTTGCCTCTCCGAAATCCAAATTGCGTATCTGAAAGTAAACCATTCGACTCGATCCATTTGTCTAGACGAAAAAGAATCATTTTCTTCAACAATTTCCGTATACAGAACAGCATCGCGATGGGACGGTACGAATTATAATCCGACGCGGGTTTACCGGGTTTTCGAATGGCGATAACTCTTAAGTGAACCCTACACGATTGCTTTTATTGACAATAATCGTATTGTCAATACATGGTATATTGACGTCAATATATCGAGATTGACAATATTTCTGAATTCACATCATCAATATTATTGTCAATAATTCCCCTTCGCGTCAATATATTGATGCGTGTGGGGTTTGCTTTACTTGCCTCCAGTCATCCGGAACAATGTTGTGCTCCAGAAATTGATTGAATTAGTTCAACAAGCGCCTCTTCGCGACGTCTGGGAGATTTTTAAGCAAGTTGAACTTGATTCTATCCATTCCTGGAGCTGAGTTGTTACATGAGAGGAAAGCAAGTGAGAATTCCACCATCGAAAACGGGGAATCTATTTCGTTATTACCCGACGGACGATCACGAACGTTGGTTTGAACCGACACCGAATCCGGGCAAACTTTCCGCGCGAAGCTGAATATCCAACTGTCTGAGTACTCCTTGTCTTCGTTGACCGGTGATGGCGCGTTTCGCATTCTCCTGCCGACATTCCAGAGTGTTCTCATGGAAGCCTCTCGCGACAAACCATCGATGAACCAACGCCAGTAACCGCGTTTTTTGGCTTTAATCAAGTCCTTAAAAGTTTTCTCGAGGTCGGTGTACCGCTCGAAAACCCCGACCTTACCGTGTTTGATCGGGATCTTCCCTACTCCAAATAAAATAATTTGTGTAAGGTTAATGTCCGTAATACCGGTCTAAGTGCCTTTAATACCATACATACATTTCAAAGGAAAGTATTTCCAGTTGTACACATTGTTCTACGAAAAATTTATGAACGGGAGATTGTGATCGATTTGTACATCCACACGCCAACATTAGAACCATTTCCTCAATGTTTTTAAAGGTCCACTTGTGATTTAGAAATGTTCCTCCCATTATAATGCGGCGAAAAGGATCAACGTCGATTGAACGAAGCAAAACAAAGCTATTCTGTTAACCGTACAATCGCGTCAGATCTATACCACGTCAGAAGCACATCCAATTTAGACAGCTTTCGCCGTGACAGGAAATCAACAAATCTTCCTAGAAAGCTATCTTCGCAGCCAACGTGTTTATCCTCCGTTTATGAGCAAACAATTTGCTATCTTTTCCCGCAACTGAGCATGACATCTTAAATTTCCGTAAAACCACATGATATGCAAATTTAAACAAAACACCCTCCGAAACAGCGCGCGTCCCTATTCCCACGGAGGATTTTGTTCACTGGGATGACTGTACTGCGCGAGTGATCCATCGTTTCACGTTCACTGAATTCGTTTTTCTCGCTTTTTCCTTTTCCAGATGGCTGCCAGACGAAGCCGAACCAATTGAATCTGATAGACTACCCGCCGTCGTCGTCGTCGTCGTCGTGGTCGTCTCTAGGGCGAGACGCTACTCTCTCGACGCATGTGAAAACTGTGGAATGTGTTGAATTTGAACGTGTTTTCGTATTCCAACCGCAGAAAGTGAAAGAAGAAACCTCCAGCGAGGTAATGTTTGCAAATGCTGTCGTCGTTGAGTGCCAATACGGCCGTTGATCAGCGCTGCACAATGGGAAGCAAGTTTCGGCGGAAGGCATTGAGCTCTCTCGGAACAATTCTTCTGCTGTAATCTACGAAAAACAAGCAATGACAACTCCCTCAAACAAAGGAAAACAAACAGCGTCATATCATTTACTTTCGGTTTTTCCGACGGTGGCAATAAAAATATCGCAATCATTTAAAAAGTAACCCCAACCCAAGCCACAACATCACCCGCTTTTCCACATGAGGCGCTCGTGTCGAGGCGCCATCCGCCAAAAACTGCTGAGCTTTGCAGTTTTGCTCGTCGCCCTTCGCCAAATTTTACAGCCCATTGCGGCACGTGGCCTGCCCTCTCCCTCGTCGTCCCCGTCGTCGTCGTCGTCGTCGTCGTTGACAAACAACAACTTCAACAACAGTCACACCATCTTTGCCAGTAACGGTAGTTTGCTCCAGTCTGGGAAGTTGGACGACATCGAAATGGAGCAGGGTGAAGGGGTCTGGGATCGGAATCAACAGCGCTATATCCTGGTAGTAGTTCACCAGTCCCTGACAAGTGCCGGTGTCGCTGCGCTGGAGCGTGAGTTTCACGATTTCGTCAAATTGTTTTTCCTCGAGCAGTTCCGGGAGGACGATGAAGATGATGATGTTGACGAGCTACATCAGAGGATTCGGTTTCGCCATTGGCGAGGTGAGTCACAGTGTAATTTAATTTCTACTGTAATTACAGTGAAGTGCCAATCCCTCGTGCAACCTTATTTCGTCGAGTAAAGCATCGGAGAACCGTTTCGCTTTGATGTAGGTATTCATGGGAAGTGTGGTGTCCGTTGACAACTTTCATTCTGGATGGTGGATGATGATAAGCCAATCCCGGAAGCTGAGAGATTTCTTGAGTTTACGGGTGCATTTGTCAATGGGGATGCACGGTTTTTCGTAATGATGAACAACAACAAAATAAACCAGTTATCCAAAGTTATCCAAACCATCATGAAGCTGGTTTTGACCGGATACCTAGACAAATCATGTCAAACAATGCAAATATCACATAACATATGGGTCATTCCAGCTCAAGTGGGTACACCACCTGTGGTCGATGTCACCGATTTGAGCCAAACTTGGCCAAAATGCTTATTTTGGAATTCTGAACAAACGCTTTTTTTGATTTTGCTCTAAAGTGCCTAGATCCTTCTGGACTACAACCCTGGATTTTCAAGATTTTTTAAAATTTCAACTTTCAGAAGAGATTACTCAATAATCAAATAAGCTATTTTTTTAATGACCCACCACTATCCCCCACACCAAAGGGCTCAAGTGAGCCCCCTGGTAGTGGACGCAACTATCTCAGCTCAGTCTGTGCAGCAAACTAAGGAACTAATGAAGCTAATAATGAGCTGAGAAAAAAAAACAAATAGGAAAAATAATAATAACAAAAATGAGGTTGATATTTATCATATAGTATAGGTGTGATGTCCCAGTGGAAACGAATTTCCTTTAAAGGGACCCACTTGTATACAAAGTATTAATTCAAAAATTTACAATTATTTTAAACGAGGAACAATTATTGCTTCTGGTAGGTAATACAAGATGAACTCATCCAAGAATGTCGTGTAGATTATCTTTTAAATATTTTTTTAATTTGATTCTAAAAACACCGCGGTTGTTAATTTGTTTTAACTCTAGAGGCAAACGGTTGTATATCTTTGGACCTATAATCGAAATCCTTTTCTGACCAAACATTGTGTGAGCTATTGACAGTTGTAAATTGTTAGCATTTCTAGTAGGGTAACTATGAGCAGCAAGAGGTAATTGAATAGAATGATGAAAATTATCGTTATGTAGGGTGTCGTAAACAAAAATAATAGTTTGTAATTCGCAAAGGCCATTAATTGGAAGAATATTATGAGAGCTGTCGGAATAAAGCTGCAACGAAGGGAACAAAACTGGTTTTTTTAATATAGTTTTCAAGCATCTATTTTGAAGTGTTTGTAGTTTTCTTAGATAAGATTTACATGCCCGACTTCAGGCTATAAAAAGATAATTTAGGCAGGAATGAATATGAGCAAAATAAAACTTTAAGAGAGTACTGCGAGATACAAAATAGCTTACTCTGCGCATTATTCCACAAAGCGATGAAACTTTCTCCTCAACATATTTTATGTGGTCAACCCAACAAAGTGTTGTGTCCAAGATCAAACCTAAATATTTAAATGATCTGACTTCTTCGATTGTACATAAATTCAATGTTACGTTGCCATGCTGTGGTTACAGACTTCCTAGGGGAACGAAAAAACATACATTTAGTTTTTGAAGCATTCAGGGAAAGCAGGTTAGCTGTGAAGTATTTTGATAACGCCTGTAAATCTTGATTCATATCACGAACTATAAGCTCTACATCAGTTTGTGGATAGAAAAGAGCAGTATCGTCTGCAAATAAGCGTGGAACCCCTTTCAATTGAAGTCTGGACAAATCATTTACGTACAAAAGAAACAGTAACGGGCCTATATTTTTCCCTTGAGGCACGCCCACTCCAATCGGCTTTAAAGAACTTTTAGATGTACCTATAGAAACATACTGTTTCCTTCCTGACGATCCTGAAGATCTTGAAGGTGTTGATCATTAGGATTCCTCTTCACTTGTTTAATGTAGTAATTTTTAATTCTGATCAATGACCACAAATTGAAACTCATCCATGGACAATAATTCCCTTTGGTATTAACTTGCTTAGTAATAATTTTCGAGTGTTTAGTTAGCAGCAAATTATAAGTTGATATAATGTTGGTAAAGCACAAATCAGCATCCTGAACTGTCCCAACATTATTTAGAAAATTGCTGAATTCCATGTCAAGCTTACCACGGTCAATGACAGTTTTAGTAAGTGTGACTTTTTCCCTCTCATCATGTAATTTGAAGGACAGTATAAGCATACAGTGGTCACTTACATCAGTAAATATGGTATCATTCCTTGATCGTGGAATATCATCAGCTCTACAAATAACATGATCAAGAATGTTCGAGCTTATAGGCCTGGTTGGAAAGGTGTTCATACATACAAAGCCGAATGATTCCAAAAGTGATTTGTACCTGACGACCACATTGTTATTTTGATAATTAACGGGTATATTGACGTCACCAACAAGAAAACAAGAACGATTATTATTAGACAAATCAAGTATATTCTCTAAAATGTTTAAAAAAATATTTATTTCGAACGATAGAGGACGATAAAAACCATGAATATTATAATTCCGTCCACTTAAGCCAAGCTCAACATTTATATGGTGAAAGCCGTCAACATGAACATTGCGTAGAACGGTACAGGATATGCCACTTCTGATGAACATTGCCAATCCTCCATTTGGGTTGTCCCTGCATGAGAAAATGGAAATGTATCCAGGAATATTATACACCGATTTGTTATCTTCTTTTACCCATGTTTCTCCTATAACGACTACATCAATCGGGAACCGGCAGTGGTCAAGTGTTTCAAGGATTTGATCAAATTTGTTGAGGTCATTCATACCTCTAATGTTCCACTGTAATATACGTATATATATGCATTAGATTCATTGATCGGAAATGATTTGTTAAAATCATCAAGGTTATCATGGGAGAAATTGTTGACATTAGCCATTGTTATTTCATGATTAAAAAAAAAAAGAAACCTTTACTCACACAATTATTTCTTCTCGCTTCTCTTACGCTTAGGAGACGGAGAATCCACAGAGGAGTGAGATAAAGTGCCATTCATGAAGTTGCCTAAGTCGTTACGATTCCTAATCACTTCCGGTTTGGAGTGCTCATTTACCTTCACTAATATAATGCCGTCTCTGCCCGCCCAAACGTATTTCAGGTTAATTTTTTTTTGTATTTCACGCATTTCTTGCAACAGTTCAAGAGAAAGCGGAGTCAGCTCATCCCGGACAGCAACATTCGTTGATTTCCCATTGAAGATCAACGATCGGTCAATGGATGATGATGGAAGTTGCCCATACTCTCTTTTTTTCGAAAAGAATACCTCCTTCACAGATTTATCTTTGAAAACAATTCTAATTGGAACCAGTTTGTTTGCAGAAGTGTTTGAGGTATATACCCGAGAGGCTGATAAAAGAGCACCAGAAGGGAGATCAACACCAATACATTGAGCCAACTTAGAAACCAATTCTGTTACATTTTCGTTAGCTTGTACTGGAAGACCAAGAATAACCGCATTATTGGAGATAGAGTCCTTGTTAGCCTTATCCGCTTTCACTTCCAGTTTGTGAACAAACTCTGTCAAAGACGACTGAGATTTTTTTAGCTCGTCTACTTCAGTTTTCAAGCGTTCATTATCCGACTTTAAATCTTGAACATCGGTCACTATACCATCAAATTTGGACGAGAGAAATTATTGCGAATCTTCTATTGCGTTGACGATCGTATTTACTTCAGCTCTTACAACCTGTAGTTGAGCAGACACAACATTGGTCACAGTGTTTTTTTATCTCAGTACTAAGCTCGGCAATCAATGCGGTACGAGCATTTTGCATTTCAACATTTTTTTTTGTAGATTTCAGAACATTTGGAGGAACAAAAGTACATGTTTTCTTTGACTTTGCGAATAGCATTTCCAATGATATTGCGGCATTTGAAATGCGCACTTGAGAAGCAATACAGACACGTTACGAGTTTGCTAGGATCACTTTCTTTTTTTTACATTCAACGCAATAAACAACATCACTTTGATCTTCCGACATTCTTGAAGATAAGTACTGTAAACAAATTATAAACAAATTATTTTCTTTGAATGGGATCCACTACAACGAAAAAACTACAATAGGCTATAAACGAACATATAGAGTGTATATCGAAAGTAAGAGACTGGCACAATACACTGAAAAAGTAATAACCAAAAGCAAAGCTTTTCCAATTCAACAATCGACTGTGGAAGAGTATTCGTAACTACGGCAGGCATCCAACAAATGGTGGTGTGTTAGATCCGACTATTAATTTGACTGATAAGGATCCCACGACCTACTGGCTACCAGAGGTGTCAGTTTCACTTCCGATTTTTTTCTATCCAACTTCGCTAAATCTGCAGTACTTGACCACAGCCACCAGCATACCTACAGACTATTTGGTGATAGCTGTACGCAGCGTAGATAGCCCTTGCCTTCGACAACAGAACCACTTTCATGTGCTACTGATGGATGTACTAATTCCAAAGACACAAACCAATCAAGAGCTCAGAAGCTTTCGCCCACGGAACCGAGCAATATCAGCCAAATGAACAGTGTGTGAAACACACCACAGCTTATCAACACAAGAGTCAATACGAATGAAACTCAGCCCATCAATACAATTGCTTCAAGGAACAACAAAACCATTCGATGATCACTTTAACAGGTAACAAACAGGCACTTTTCACTTTTATTTTGATGCAAACTCGCAACACTCGAAAAAACTATGCAATAACCAAGGCTAAACTACACCTTTGGAACAAAATTATGATTAATTTAAACGTAAATCACTTAAAATTCTAAAAAAAAAAATAATTTGCACTTAAGGACAATAGTATTAGCTACCAGAAACAGCGCTGCCAGATGAGCTATTCGTGATCTTAGAACGTCAACTTGAAGGTTGTTTAATGTAGATTCTTATATGTGTACAAACATTTAGTTTTTGTTATAGTAACTACAGTAAACAGACTGATT